GAGTGTGTGTCTTTGTGTGTGAGAGAGAGAGAGGGAGGAGGGAGGGAAAGAGAAAGAAGAATGAATTTTCCTTTGAACACAGGCAGATGACAACTTCTGTTCAGAATTATCTGCAGTTTTAGCAGCAGTGTTTACAGCAAGAAAGCCTTCCTGTGTCTGGATGTGAACACTAAGTTTAAATGGGGCAGTACAGTATACATGGTTTTACAGTGAAATGCTAATGGCATTGGTCCGTGATGGTGAACCTGTGGCATGCGGAGCCCATCCAGCTCAGCTCACCACGCATGTGTGTGTGCCTCCCACTGGCCAGCTGACTTTTGGGACTCTGCCATGCATATGGGAGATGCGCATGCATGCATGTGGGGGTGGGGGTCACATGTGCATATGGGGGGTTGTGTGCGCATATGCAGGTGGTGGGGGAACGCAGGGGATGTGGTGTACCCCCGCGTCCCATTTTTGGTTTTAGGAAGCTTCAGGGAGGCCTGCTAGGTCCAAAACAGGGCACGGGGGTGTCTTCCACATGCATGGGGCAGCGTGTGGAGTTATGTGCATGTGCAAGGGTGGAGGAACCACAGGGTGTTGTGCATACATGCATGGAGTGCAATGTATTATGGCTGTGGCACGCACATTTGAGAGATTTCGGCACACGAGGACAAAAAGGTTAGCAATCACTGGCAAAGGTTTTACATCCTTGATGCTAAAGACAAGCTCTTTTTTAAAATGTTAATAAATCAGAGACACTACTCAGGGCAGATTCATAGAATTATGATGTAACCATCATAAATGTGAGGCAGTTTCCAAGCATTCAAATTTTGAACATATAACCATGGGGATGCTGCGGTGGTCGTAAATTTGAAAAACTGTTGCAAGTCACTTTTTTCAATGCTTGTAACTTTGAATGGTCGCAAAATGAACTGTTGTAAGTCAAGGACCTGTAGTTTGATTAGAACAAAGTAGACCAGTTCCCTATCTAGAGAAAAAATTTAATGTGTCAGACCAAATTTTTGACAAGTTCTAAGCAGGTCTGTTATCCTGGGTACTTAATCAGCACAGTATATCATTCCTAATGTATTTTCTGCCTTGTTACACTTACGCTGGTGCCAAAGGACTTGAAAAATGAATGGCTGCACAATAACATAATATTTCCTTGTCATTGCATGGAGACAAATTGGCTCATTTATATAGTGTTTATCTTTTATTATAGAATCTGCATCACCTGGGGGTTGTAAATCTGGAGTGCATGTTTGAGACACCAGAAAGAGTGTTTGTTGTTATGGAGAAGCTCCATGGAGATATGTTGGAGATGATTTTGTCAAGTGAAAAAGGAAGGTTGCCAGAGAGGATAACCAAATTTTTAATTACACAGGTAAGAAGAGTCTATTAGGATAGACATCAAATATACTTCATTTTGTGTGAGATTCAATTCTATAAATTAAATACATTTTCAAAACTTCTTTATGTATGAAAGAAGCCATTTGGAAAAATGAAGCTACAAGCCAATTTTGGCTTGTTTGGTTTGTAATGTTTTCAGATCTTAATTGCCCTGTCCTATTTCTACATGAGTTTGCAGTTTCTCTTTAAAAAAAAGTCTACGAGGATATTTCATGTGCGTTTCTCCTAATTTACACATTTTGTAGGCATTTTTGCATCATCGACACATTTTTTTACAAGCAGTTTTCCTTTATAGTATTTCATCAGTATACATATTTTTGTTTGGAAAATTGCTGTGCAAAACTCTTAAGAAGTGTGAATACCAAAAATGACTGTGGCATTATTCATGTATTGATTCAGAAGGTGTGAATTGGTAATTGGATATTAAAATGCAAACTGAACAAATTCTCCAGTGCAATTCAGGTTAAGCAAAGAAATTGTTAAAACTGCTTTTTCCTGAATTAGTATGACAGTATGCACTGGCCAATGTTTTTGTAGAGTCGGTGATAACAATAGAGTATTTGTGACATTTTATGGAAACTTAATACTATGTTCCTCTCATTTTGTAAGTTATTGTTCCAATTTGGAATGGGATCATAAAAATAAAATCTTTAAAATCAGTTCAAATCAATCACCAACTTTGTGTTTGTTGATGTTATATCACAATTCTAGGAATGCATTAACATGTAAAATAAATATTGAATGGCTTTTCTATGTTGCAGCACAGTTGATTTGTTTCTTTACAGATTCTTGTTGCTTTGAGGCATCTTCATTTTAAAAACATTGTTCATTGCGATCTCAAGCCAGAGAATGTATTGCTAGCATCAGCTGACCCTTTTCCACAGGCAAGTCAGAATATTTTTCTTTGCAGGAATATAGCTCAATCATTTATTAAAACAAAGCACGTTACTGAAAGTGATTTATAGGATTAATCGCTTTTCAATGAAATATGAAATTATTTTTTTAGAAAATAACCAAAGGAAACATGTTTTATTTTCTTGAAGCTGAGCTCCTCAGAGTATGATTTAATTATTTGTTCTAATAATGCTTTCCATGACTGTAGTTCCTTAACACAAATATGGAATCAGTAAAATTTATCACTTTACACCTCTATAAATTGCAAAATGTGAATCAATGCATCTTGATTTTAATATGAATTATATGGATGTAGATTAAATTATATGTGAGAACCCACATGATACTTTCCAGATTTTCTTTCTGTGCATTTATATATATATATATATAAGTTAGTTAGCTATCATGGGGAATTATGGCATTATCATTGCCTCTTATAATATAAGCTTTAAGTTATGTGAAGATGAGTTCCAGATTGTAACTTACGTGTCTGGAACGGTATAGGGTTTCCTGCCTAGGCAGGAGGTTGGACTAGAAGACCTCCAAGGTCCCTTCCAACTCTGCTATTGTATTGTATATAACATCAACATCTGCCTGTCCCAGATCCTTGGGAAGTACTTGATAGGTGGATAAAAATGTCAAATCCAGTCTGAACATCTGGCTGTGTGAAGAACCACAATGAACCATACTAATATCACTCTTTTTTGAATTTATCAAAGATATAAGGATTTTAGGTCTCAACTATTTTTGTCCATTATCAAATTGACATCATACCAAATCTACCCCTTTTCTCCAGTAGGTGAGAGTATCTCCGGGATACTCTCATAAATCTCCGGGAGAGTCCTCCGGGATTGGGCAGCCTATAAATTTAATAAATGAAATGAAATAAAATCTTTTACAACAAACGGGTGTGATGCATGTGGAAAAGAGGGAGCAGTTATCAGGATATCAATTATTCCATTGTATAGGTAAAAAGTAATTTATCTGATATTGGATATAGCTCTACTTCATAAAAGTTGTCTCATCAATTTTGTATCAAATAGGTGAAGCTTTGTGATTTTGGTTTTGCCCGGATTATTGGAGAGAAGTCATTCAGACGTTCACTTGTGGGTACACCAGCATATCTTGCTCCTGAAGTTCTGAGAAATAAAGGATACAACAGATCACTTGATATGTGGTCTGTTGGTGTCATTATCTATGTTAGCCTCAGTGGTACTTTTCCATTCAATGAAGATGAGGATATTCATGATCAAATCCAGAACGCTGCTTTTATGTATCCACCTAATCCTTGGAAGGAAATCTCTCATGAAGGTATTTATTTACTTACTTTTTTATTTTTTTATTTATTGTACTTACATTTCTATTAATTAAATTCATTTTCCTTTTCATAAATGTTATCATCTATTCCATAGATGATTTCCAACAATAGATATTATATATCTATCATCTAATAATAAGAATCTATAATTGTCCACAATCAAATCCAAAGTTTAAAAAGATATCGTTATAAAATTAAAGAGAATATTGTTACTGACATTCAGTTTATTATTCTGTGATTTTATAAATATTTTAAATAGAAAGTGGGTAAGTTATTTCCTTTTTATCAAAAATCAAAAGAAAACATTCAAGAAGTTACTTGACTACAGATTTCCTCCTTTTGTGTACCTGGAGACACAGTGCCTCTAGAGCACAGGTGTCCCACTTGGAGTGTCACATTGGTGTCATGTGACGTTTCATGACTTTTCCCCATTCACGGAGCTGGGGTGGGCGTGGCCTGCATGTGACGCATTTGACACCCTTGCTCTAGAGTGAGACTTTATGATATACAACTAATTATCCTTTTAATGGAACTAATAGGGTCCTATGCTGCTGTACTCCCACTTAGCTTTATTAGTGAAAATATTTAATTATGGCTCATTGAAATACATCAATTTATTAGAGTAGCGTTGTGCAGCACTTCTGATTTGCTTCACAAAAATTGTTTCTGTGAGCCCTGGAACACAAAGAGGACATGTCTGCAATGCCTTAAAGCAGTTAACTTTTTCCTGCTCTCCAAAGAACTTTTGGAGACTGAATCTCCAAACATACCAGTGAACATTGAATTACTGCCAACATCACAAAGACGTTGACCAGATATGGAATCCTTCCATGTTTGAATCTCTCTGTATGTACATTAAGTCCGTACATCCTCAGAGACACACTACAGTATGTATCAGCTGGATAGCTTCTTCTAGTAATGTAGAATAGGAACATGGAGACATTTGGAAAGTGTCCTTGATGTCCAGCTTTTAAAAACTAACTTATATATGTTCTTATTATGCTGGAAATTAACATTGAGCTCATTAGGATCTACTTTTCCTGTGATTAGTACCATGCTTAGGCTTATAATTCATGGTTTCTGTGTGACATGTTAAGCCAGCTCTCTACATGTTAAGCTAGGAATTTCAGAAAGTACATGTGGGAATTAGCAATTACTGATAGCAATAATAATAACACTTAAATTTATATGCCATTTCATAGCACTTTACAGCACTCTCTAAGGCATTTATAAAGTCAGCATATTGCCCCCAACAATCTGGGTCTTCATTTTACCTCAGAAGGATGGAAGGCTGAGTTAACCTTGCGCAGGTCAGGATCGAACTTCTGGAAGTGAGCAGAGTTAGCCCGCATACTGCATTCAAACCATTATGCCACCAATTGCCTGTCAGTTGACAAAAGGCTATAGAAAGTAGTAAAATAGAATGATGCAATTTAATAATTTCAATGAACAAAAATTGGCTAATAAAACAACATACATTTTCCATGTATAGGATGTTTCTTATTTGTTGCAGTCTCATTCTTTTAGCTGTCAATACTCCTGATCTGGCTTCTGAATAATTCTGAAAAAATTCTGAAAGCTTATACTATAAAAAAAGAATGATGGTAGACACATATCCCTGGGCATTTTATGACATTGTTTAATGAGACTCTTACAATAATGTAATAGTCCTGATAAATAGTGTATTACCGTATTTTTCGGAGTGTAAGACACACCAAGGTTTTGAAGAGGCAAATTTAAAAAAAAGTTTTTGCACTCTGCAAATCTCCCAAAAAGGCCATTTTTTTGCGAAAATGGGCCAGTTTTCTTTTTTAAAAAAG